GAATCACTCTTTGGGTGAAGAAGTACTTCCTTTTATCCGTTCTAACCCGACCGCTCATCAGTTTCATGGAGTGCCCACGAGTTCTTGTACTGTGAGAAAGGGAGAAAAGTACCTCTTTCTCTACCTGCTCTTTCCCATGCATAATCTTATAAACCTCGATCATGTCACCCCTCAGTCGTCGTTTCTCCAAGCTAAAGAGCCCTAAGCGCCTTAACCTTTCCTCATAGGGAAAGTGTTCGAACCCTTTTATCATTCGAGTTGCCCTTTTCTGCACTTTTTCCAAAGCTGTAATATCCTTTTTAAGGTGTGGTTCCATTTCAAGTGTGCTCCTGAGGAAGACTGGGATGAAATGAGCTGATATCCGGATGCTCGTTGAGAATGACGGGATTTTTCCTTGCAATATTGTAAAGTTTTATTTATAATATAATGTGATCTTTACCAAATGCCCGACTCATTCATATCACAGTGTTTGCTTATTTGTTGTATTTCCTGTATGGATACCTGTGATCCCTTCTCCGTCCTGCTTTACAGGGCTGTTGTCACAGCAACCCAATTCCAGCGCATGACGCACTTTTGAGGAAGCACAACAGAAATACTAATGGCTGATTCACACACATTCAAACACTGAGGGCATGAGCTGCATTCAGGAGAAAAGACTGATTCTGAGTCAGTCTTGGGTCCTTGGGAAGTGTTCTGTGCAAACGCTCCCTCTAAGCTTTGGCGTCTTGTGAGCAAAAATTCTACTTTGTGAGCTGCTAAGCATTAAAGTTGTGAGCGAGCGGTCTGGCTGCTGCATAGATTTGTTTGCTCTGGAGCCCTCCTTCCTGAGCCAAGGCAAAAATGTGTGAGCCAGAGGCTAAAAAACCGTGAGCTAGCTCACACTAACGGCACTTAGCGGGAACACTGCCCACTCGCACATGAGGGAGATGGAGGTGGGTGAACCAGCCCTTCTGCACCAGTGATAATAACAGCTGTTAATATTTGTCCAAAAGACTTTACAGACAACCTCCCCTTCTCTCTCACAGCGTCTCAAAAGGTGGGTCTTAGGAAATGTCAGAACAGCCCTGCTGGATCGGGCCCAGGGTCTCTCTAGAGCTGCGGTCGAGAGTGGCCCCAACACTTCCAAGAAGCCCACATGAAACCCCCCTCCCCACAGCATCCCTTGCAGGGGGAGGTGCCTCCTCCACAAGGGCAGACTGGGATGTTCAAGCACCACAGGAGCAAACCGGACCGATTCCCTATGGTGCAGCAGCTAAGCTTGCTCTTGGATTTCAGTGCCCCTCTCCACAGGGCCCCCCCCCCAAACTTTTCCAGCCAGTTAAAGAGCTGCTCTGCCTGGATCCTCCACAGGGCTTTATGTAATAGTCGGGGGGGGGGAGAAGAAGAAGAAGAGGAAGAGGAAGAGGAAGAAGAAGAGGAGAAGGAAGAAGAAGAGGAAGAAGAAGAAGAAGAAGAGGAAGAAGAGGAGGAGGAGGAAGAAGAGGAAGAAGAAGAGGAAGAGGTGGAGATTGGATTTATACCCCGCGCTTCACTACCCAAAGGAGTCTCAGAGCAGCTTACAAACTCCTTTCCCTTCCCCTCCCCACAACAGACAACACCCTGTGAGGTAGGCGGGGCTGAGAGAGCTCTTTCAAGGATGGCCCTTGATAGAACAGCTGTGCCAGAACTACAGCTTGCCCAAGGTCATCCAGCAGGTGCAAGTGTAAAAGGAGTGGGGAATCAAACCCGGTTCTCCCAGATTAGAGTCCGCACACTTAACCACTACACCAAACTAGAGGAGGAAGATTGGATTTATACCCCGCCTTTCACTCGGAGGCTCAGAGCGGCTTACAAACTCCTTTCCCTTCCGCTCCCCACAACAGACACCCTGTGAGATAGGTGGGGCTGAGAGAGCTCTTTCGAGGACTGTCCTTGAGAGAACAGCTCTGACAGAACTACGGCTTGCCCAAGGTCATCCAGCAGCTGTGAGTGGAGGAATAGGGAATCAAACCCGGTTCTCCCAGATGAGAGTTTCCTCCTCTTTGTTATTCTTCTTTTTGTCTCCTGCTTTTGCACGGTAGGTTCTGCCTGCCAGTGTTTCTTCATTTTCAGGACTCCATGGACTTGTCCAACATCCCTTCCCCGGTTTCACCTCTTCCAACAACCTCCACCTGCACGCAGGAAATAGATGGCCCGGGGAGAGGCCGACAGGCAAAGCCATTCCAACAGACGCCTGGCATCTTTCCCAGGCAGGAGACTCTCCCGTAAATCACAAAGTTGGGCCGAGAGAGGGAATTCCCTCCAGAGCAGGCGGGGAACCCGCTCAACTAGCAGAGTTGGCGTGTAGTTTGTGGATGCAAGCGTAACAAGAAAGTCCCTCCAGGATCTGGCATAGCTCCCCCAGCCGCCGCGCTGCAGTGCATGGTGTGCATCCATGTGCATAGGACTGTGTCTGCGATGGACACGGTGCTGACTTGCAGTGTTCCCTCTGAGTTAGAGTGAGCTACCTCACAGTTCTTTAGCTTCCAGCTCACACATTTTTGTCTTAGCTCGGGAAGGAGGGCTCCAGAGCCAACTAATTTGTACAGTAGCCAAATCGCTCGCTCACAACTTTAATGCCAGGAGCTCACAAAGGAGAATTTCTGCTCATAAGACTCCACAGCTTAGAGGGAACAATGGCTGTGGGAGGTGCCACTGTTAAATTTCTGCTCCGCAGGTATTTGATAGTTCATTTGTCGGCAGCTGCAAGGATAGTATATGCCAAATATTGGGAAATAATGGAAATACCAACAAAACAAGAGTACGTGAACAAGCTATTTGAAACGGCGGAAAATGACAAACTGACGCTTGAGATGAGAGCCGGCACGGAACGGACTTTTCAAAAAACTTGGAAGAGATTCTACGATTGGTATAATGTAAACGCAAATGATAGATAAATGTAGTAATGTGAGAACACAGAAAAGCTTAGTAAAATAGATAATGAATTTAGAAATTTAATAAGCAGAAGAAATAATAAAGTCTCTTGTTATATGTTATATGTTGTGGGGGGTAGTTGGGGGTTGTTTGTATGTATGTCTGTAGTATATAATGGAAAAAAATAATAAAAGTGTACCCTCGGGTACTTCTAAAAAAAAAAGAATTTCTGCCCCGCAGAACACATAAAGCTGTTTTATGCTGAGCCAAGCCTTCAGGTAGATGCTCCCCCTTGAAGATAGGGCTTCCTCCCCAAGGGTCTATTGCGGAATATTTTTTTGGTTTAATCATTCCTCACTATCGAAGAGCTTTTATGTTAGGCCGTTTTAATGTGTTGCCTTCGGCTGCACTGGGTGGTAGAGGTTCTCCAAGACTTCTTATGTGGACAGACTGAAACTGAGAGTCTGGATCACGTCATTCTACACTGTATCTTCTATCGAGACGCTCGAGGCATTATATCTTGAGCCCTTGCTGAGGAATCCAGCAAATCATTCTGATGAATGAAAGACGTCTTATTTACTTTCTACTCGCTCCTCAGTGATTATGGAAATGGTGGCCAAATTTTCGTTTTGCGCTTCTAAGAGAAGGGAATGTATCATTAACTGCGTTTGACTTTGTAATTCCTTGCCTATCAGTTTTAACATTTCTTGTTCAGTCGCACAGTCGAGTCCGACTCTTCGCGACCCCATGGACCAGCTCCCGCCAGGCCTTCCTGTCTTCCGCCGTCCTCTGAAGTTTGCTCAGTTTCATGTTCGTTGCATCGATGACATGTCTAACCATCTCATCCTTTGCCGTCCCCGTCTTCTTTGACCTTCAGTCTTTCCCAGCATCAGGGTCTTCTCCAGTGAGTGCTCCCTTCTCATTGGGTGGCCAAAGTATTTGAGCTTCAGTTTCATTATCTGGCCTTCCAGGGAACAGTCAGGGTTGATTTCTTTTAGGATTGACTGATTTGTTCTTCTTGCAGTCCAAGGGAATCGTTTGCTAGGATATTATGAGCACGGAAAGAACTTGTTTCAATGGAGTGGGAAGAATGTTTGAGTGTTAATTCACAGATGAGAATTGTGTAAGTATTTTTAACTTTGCGGTAGGCATTATGGAGTTTGCATGCACGTATCAGTGACAACATAAGATGGTCATTGGAATGCAATTGTTTTTCCTCTCATTTCAGTGACGTGTAAATTAATGCTGTTTACGCAGCACACCATGAAAAAGCTGTCATGTGAAACGGGAGTATATGCAGTTTCCGCTGAGTGTATGTGTACATCTTTATTACTTGTTGAAGAAACACTTGTTGTTGTTCAGTCGCACAGTCGAGTCCAACTCTTCGTGACCCCATGGACCACATCACGCCAGGCCTTCTTGTCTTCCGCCGTCCTCTGAAGTTTGCTCAACTTCATGTTCGTTGCATCTATGACATGTCTAACCATCTCATCCTTTGCCGTCCCCGTCTTCTTTGACCTTCAGTCTTTCCCAGCATCAGGGTCTTCTCCAGTGAGTGCTCCCTTCTCATTGGGTGGCCAAAGTCGTTGAGCTTCAGTTTCAGTATCTGGCCTTCCAAGGAACAGTCAGGGTGGATTTCTTTTAGGATTGACTGATTTGATCTTCTTGCAGTCCAAGGGACTCTCAAGAGTCTTCTCCAGCACCATAGTTCAAAAGAATCTATTGTTCAGCGCTCGGCCTTCCCTATAGTCCAACTCTTGCAGCCATACATGACTACTGGGAATACCATTGCTTTGACCATGCGGACTTTTGTTGGCAGGGTGATGTCTCTACTTTTACTCACTACAAAACAGCAGTCTAAATATATTTTTCATAATACTACATCACGGCTATTTTCATCATTGTTTGCATCCTTCCCATGATCTCTCTGTTGTTTCTACACACCTGAAAGTTGGCAACCCCCAACGGCTCACCACCACCCTCCTGCTGGTTTTTTAATATCCATTTCCCCCCCTCCACCACCCCACCTATGCGTTTCTCTCTTGCTCGAATGTGCTCCGCTCCGCCCCACCCCACAGCCTGCTTTCTCCCTGGGCTCCCCCACTCACTTGGTCTTGCGCAGTTTGTTGTTCTCAGTTTTGAGCAGGTACAGCTTCTTGGCAAAGAAGACGGTCATCATGAAGAGGAGCAGGACCACCAGGGCGGCGGATCCCACGGCCACGCACATCACCTGGAAGTCGGTGATGATGGACTCGCACCGGGTGCCCTTGTGCCAGATGTAGTCCTGGGTGTTGCACCTGCAAGCGGAGACAGAACACAGGGCCCTCAGCAACGGACCCCAGATCCCTCTACATGGCTCTTCCCATGACTTTGAGAAGTTCAACCCAACGGAGCCTCCATAAGTCAGAGGCAGAATATACAGGACAAGCAGGGACTGGAGTCCAGGAATGCTTTCAGGGTTTTTTTTGGGGGGGGGCACAGACCAGCTCTCCCACCACACCCCCAGTTGTGTAAACCATGTGCACACAGCCACCTGGGGGCGCTGTGGCTTAGTGGCAGAGCATCTGCCTGGCATGCAGAAGGTCCCAGGTTCAGTCCCTGTCATGTCCAGAAAAAAGGACCAGGAAGTCTGTGATGGGAACCAGGGATGGTCTTAACCAAAGGACAACAGGGACAGCTGTCCTGGGTCCACTGCAGGGAGGGCTTACCACCCACAGCCCTGCCAAGAAGCAACATCAGGGGAACGCCTCGGCCTCTCTGCCCTGTTGTTGGCCCTCCAGAGGGACTGGCTGGCCCCTATGTGAGATGGGAGGCTGGACTAGATGGACCCTCCCTGGTCTGACCCAGCAGGGCTCTTCTGAGGTTCTTCTCAGGGGAAGGCCTCGGCCTCTCTGCCCTGTTGTTGGCCCTCCAGAGGAACTGGTTGGCCCCTGTGTGAGACGGGAGGCTGGACTAGAGGGACCCTCCCTGGTCTGATCCAGCAGGGCTCTTCAGATGTTCTTCTCAGGGAAAGGCCTCGGCCTCTGTGCCCTGTTGCTGGCCCTCCAGAGGGACTGGCTGGCCCCTATGTGAGACGGGAGGCTGGACTAGATGGACCCTCCCTGGTCTGACCCAGCAGGGCTCTTCGGATGTTCTTCTCAGGGGAAGGCCTCGGCCTCTGTGCCCTGCTGCTGGCCCTCCAGAGGAACTGGCTGGCCCCTGGGTGAGACGGGAGGCTGGACTGGATGGACCCTCCCTGGTCAGACACAGCAGGGCTCTTCTGAGGTTCTTATCATGGGAAGGCCTCGGCCTCTCTGCCCTGTTGTTGGCCCTCCAGAGGGACTGGCTGGCCCCTGTGTGAGACGGGAGGCTGGACTAGATGGACCCTCCCTAGTCTGACCCAGCAGGGCTCTTCTGAGGTTCTTCTCAGGGGAAGGCCTCGGCCTCCGTGCCCTGTTGCTGGCCCTCCAGAGGGACTGGCTGGCCCCTATGTGAGA